GGGGGGGGAACTACCTTGTGACTGCTGTTAACGGACAGAAGTTCAACAAACGTCACTAATTTTACACAACACAAATTTTCAGTCAACGAGTTTTAGAAGGTCAGATTCAGCCGGCGTGAAATGACTCCAGCAAGGATATTCTTTCTTGGTTTCCTATATCAAGCCGCACGACGATACGGGCAGCAGAGCGATGCCCTTATTTTTCTTAAAAGCAAGTAGCACTCAAAATGAAAACAGCCTAAAATGCTCCGAACTTCTATGCAGGCACTATTACAAAAATCTCTACAGCAGAAATAAATCCAAAGGTGAAGAAAGAACGCCATACTTTAATGTACTGTCGATAGACCAATTGAAAATTGCTTTTTTTTGCATCCAGTAATAGTTGCATAATAAACTGGCCAATCAGCCCTCATCATTACAGAGTCTTTCATTTCCAGCTTATCGCTATAAGTACTGCCAACAAAAAAATCATGTCTCTTGAAAAGACTCCAGTTTTCAGGATACAAGCCTCAGCTTTCCTTACTAAGTCCTTTCCAGGAAAACTAAACCTTTTTTCTCAACTACCAGTTTAGTTTAGTTTGGTCAATTTTTAACCTTTGCCCTACACTGCCTTTACTTTGGTAACCTTGACACCCGAAGAACTTTGTTCATGGAAAAAAACTTTACTTAGAACAGGAGGAGTTTGCATACTTATAATGCGCTATAATCCTATGGCACTTTAAAGTGTTCAGGATGGACCAGCAACCTGCAGGATGTCCTACGGGCGAACTTTCCGGCGTAGCAGGGGAGACGGACGATCCCGATATTTTGCTAATCTTATTAGCTTTAACAGTTTCCAAATTCTATTAAATTATGAGTGATATAGCTGTTCCTCCTTCTAGTTTAAAATGTTTGTTCAGACATTCAAATCGTTATTTTAAACTGTTCAGCAGTTCAATATCAGGAGACTGCTGCATCACCTATTGTTCAGTGAAGTTTAACGCTATGAAAACCAATAGACTCGGAAGAATGCCTCACTACTTCAACTAATCAAACACAACCTGACATATCATTCCCGTTTTAATAATCACCAACGTAATCCTAAATGAACTTCTTGGAAACAATAAAATTATTGCGGAACTACAGCGCCTTTTAAACTTTTCAAATTCCTGCTGTTTCAAATTGAACCTTTTTCTTCTGCATATGAATCCCTTCGAGAAGCTACGGTCATTGAAACAAAAGTAGTTTGCACTAGAGGCAGAAAAGTGACAAAGTTAAACCAGATTGATATGCGGAACGTAAATATTTGGCTTCCTCAGAAGAAATTTACTAAATGTGATTCAGGTTTCAGCTATAAAAAAATGGAAGCTTCCCAGCAGACTTGAATTTT